ATGTAGACAATGGTGAATTAAACCTGGTTTTGTCGCTACCTTAACCTCTCACTTGTACGACAGTCGAATAACATTTCATTATATTGAAAAAAGTGTGTGAAAAAACAAACAGACATAATAGGTAAAAATGTCAAAAATAAGGGTACGGTAGTCAACATTGTGTTATAATCTTAATTACAATAAAAAAAAAAAAAAATACGTCAACAACAAAAAACAAAATGGCATATAGACAAAGCACATAAGCAAAAATGAAAGACAAGAGTACAAAACATTACCACAGCTCAACAACATAATGGCGGGATGAGCTTGTTATCTTGCAATGTCATGATTTAGTTGCATGAAATTTACTCAGAAGTATAGCAATTAATGTATGAGTGTAGGATCGCTTCATTTAGTTTATTTTTTATAGCAGTTTTATCTGCTTTGTATCGATCTGATGAGTAAAGTCCTTTTCAACTGATTTTTTATAGTTTGTTACACCATTGTCCCAGGTTTGGAGAGGGATTGCGCCTTCAAACATGTTTAACCCCGCCATATTCTGTATGTGCCTGTCCCAAGTCAGTAGCCTGTAGTTTAGTGGTTGTCGTTGGTTCATGTCTGTCATATTTGTTTTTCGAACATTGTTTTGTTATGAAAATCTGGGACATATACCCCTATATCAGGCACACAGAAATTTTATCTGTCCGTATTTCCTTTGGTATTATCATAAAAAATATTGTAAAAATATCCCGGCTTTATACTCGATATCAATACTTTGTAAAAGATTTATAAAGGAAAATATATTTCCGGTTTTGTTTAAACTAAGATTCGTTCTTCAATATAAGACGGCATTCAAACGTATTGTTACATGGTACTCTCAACTAGTAGTTTCAATCAGATGTGGATAATAGATCATCGTGCATTTTCTCATTATACGGCATTCATAAAATGAGAGTACCTTTGACCCGAAAACTGCTTAAACAAGGTTATAAAAAGGTACAGAAATCGGCACTACATAAATTTCATGGTCACCACCACGAATAGGTTGACCGGTACGTTGTTTCTATGTCACTAGCGATATGTTTTGGCTGTATTAGACCTGTTTTTATGTCACTAGCGATATGTTTTGGCTGTATTACATCTGTTTCTATGTCACTAGCGATATGTTTTGGCTGCATTAGATCTGTTTCTATGTTACTAGCGATATGTTTTGGCTGTATTAGATCTGTTTCTATGTCACTAGCGATATGTTTTGGCTGTATTAGATCTGTTTCTATGTCACTAGCGATATGTTTTGGCTGTATTCGATCTGTTTCTATGTCACTAGCGATATGTTTTGGCTGTATTAGATCTGTTTCTATGTCACTAGCGATATGTTTTGGCTGTATTAGATCTGTAGATACCACACTAGTCGTTGATCTGTATATACCTGTATATATCTGTCGTTGATCTGTAAACTTGCAGCGTATGTCCTATTCTTGATTGCAAAATATCAATTGAGTGTGGATTCGAATGGTGGGTTATGTTTTCATAGATGGAGACGCTTAACCCTTCGGCCTACCCGGTCTCGCCCCTTTTTAAGATTTTGTGTATCCCCCAAGTTTTTTTTTTGTAAGAGTTGTATGTAGTGAATGGATTTATGAGACTTAAACATCTGTAGACTAATGTCCCCTTTATCTCGGAATTCACATTATTGAAGAGGACAATGTTTTCTGAAAATTCTGCAGTTAGTCAAAAGAAGTTGTTTCTGAGCTATATCAAAAACCTTTATAAATCAAACATTTGCTATTGCAATATTTTCTCTTCTTTGTCCTTTTCATTATTTCAAGTAACGCTTTTGACTGTATACTACTAAAACATGTATGTCTTGACTTTCCGGATTATATCTACATATATAACAATAAGGGTACTATGTGGTAGATGTTTATTATTCATTGGATAAATGCAAGAAATCATCCACATTGAGCCCTTCTTTTTTATATACATTTTCTAGATCATATTTACTTTCTACGATTAGAAAATTAGAAAAGAATGACGTTTCTCAAAACAAAATGAGAATCTATGTGTCTTTACATTTTTTAGTCAGTTTGAAAGATAAACTTTGACAATACCTTCACACATAACTGCAGCGGGTAATGTTTTAACTTATGATTGTCGTATTCCTCTGTTATATTTCAAGATTTCGACAGTTGTATCTTGTTGATACCTTTTCCTATACCAGCAGAACTATATCTCATTAGTTATATGTGATGTTAGGGATCTTGTCAATCTTTAGAAATAACTCACTCGGCAAACACTCGCTTTTGATTGATGCAATAGGAATCACTGTACTAGATATTTTAATTACCGATATATTTTTATAGTTATAATGACTTTATTAAAAAAAAATAAAAGCAAATTTCGAAACAACTGATTCAAGGCATAAGAAACAAGAGAAATGAAGCACATTGAAACGTATCTCAAGCAGAGGTGTTATAATTAGCTGAAGAAATCAACCGTTTAAAAAATATGGAGGATTTCCTTCAAGTAAATGAAAAAATTGTTCGTGATTTATACTTTTGACATGCTTTACTGATAAATTTTCATGTTGTATCTCGTAAGTGTCGAACTGTATTTTATTAAGTTAATAGGATTATTAAATGAATATGGATTGACAAAATACTAACTGCCTCAGTACATAATTGCCAATTGTGATGTGCATATATAAAGATTTACGCATTCAGTTGCGGATCCAGGATTTGAAATAAAGGGGACCACCAAGGCAACGTACTTGTATATGCATTTACCATATATGTAGCTTCATAAAGGGGGAGCGGAAATATTTAACAAAGTGTTTTTTATACAATATATAAGCAACAACATTATTTTATTCACATTTACATTTTTTTATTCAGCTTTTATTTTTTGATATGGATTACCGTTTGTTTTATATATTACACGATTCGAAAATGAGACTACTGATACAGTATGTTGTTCATAAAATTCTAAGATTTTTTAAAAAGGAAGAAAAGCAAAATTGTAAGTCAGAATTCCAAATAAATACTTATCTCTGACAGATAGGTATCTTAGAGTAGTAAACATCTGAAGACATTATTTTTTATATAATCTATGACACTTTCTTACTTTCCAAATTAAGGAATCAACAGAGGTTGCCTTATCATATGTTCTTCCTTACCATGTACCATTCATAGCAGGCCCGTCTTGAAGCGCTAAACAATTAGTGAAAGTTCCCTTAGAACACCCAATCCATGAGCAGTAAAAGCGTCACTACTCAAGATAATCAAAACTCTCAGACAGCATGTACTTTTAAAATATATGGTTATAAACGATAGAATTTTTTTTTCATTTTATAAATATCTATATTCCTAAGTATGATTGTTTACATGTTTACTAGTAACACCTTTATAAATTCATTACTTTTCATAACAAGTCGTTGTCCAGGAAGGAAACGTATATGATGTTTAAAGTCGTTTACAAATACTAATTTAAATTGTTTTGTAAATAGTATAAAAATAAGGAGATGCGGTATGATTGGCAAAGAAACAACTATCCATCAAAGTTTAAATGAAGTAGATGTGAGCAATAAAAGGCAACCGTACGGCCTTCAACAATGAGAAAAACCCATACCGTTTTTTTTTTTAGTCGGCTATAAAAGGCCCCCACATGAAAAATATGAAACAATTCCGAATTGAGAAAACTAACTGTCTGTATTTACGTCTACAATTACTTTTTCGCATTTGCATTTTGTTATTTATACATGCTTGCAATTGATAGAAGGTTTGATTCGTATCAATGACGCGTAAATTAGAGGCAGTGAAATTGGTTTTTGGTCATATCTCCCCATGGCGTTCAGTCTTCACTATTTGCTTTAATGTTTAAAATAAGGAGACTATATTTACACGAAAATAAGTTTCGGAGGTTCAAAAGCATGTGCTGCTGAAAAGGAAGTGTTGACGTTGAGGCTAATAAAAATAAAAATGTAAAAAAGCTTGATAAGTCGAGAACACCCATGTAATGTACAATTGGGTTTGTTAACATAAAGGTTTCTACTAAAAATATCTCGATCAAATGCGAAAATTAGTCAGAATTATTTTGTAGGTTGTATGCCCCTTGACAAATAGACTTCTTTCTGCATCTACCAATTGAAATTCTATATATATATGCATTTATGAAAACAATATTCAAATGATTGAACTTGATACTTTTATTGTGCTTACATTCTACCGTCGTTGATATATATATCTGGTACATTAATGCAAAAGTCCACCTATATATATTATGTAAGGTCTTTGAAACACGACTTAATGGGGTTATTGTTAGCCCTTTTGTCTAGGTCGATTTAACGATTAAGGTTAACGATCATAGAGAGGATTTCTGGTATTTATCCTGCAATCAACCAACTATTGTACAAACAACATGTAAACAAATAAGAAAGTCTCCTGTTACTCCGCTTCCGTATTGAGCAAACGTAAAATGTGAATATTTCTTTTTGGGTAACAGTTAATTTTTTGGCTCTCTTCGCGGTACGCGTTTAAACTCCGTCGATTTCTTTGAACACCAGAGACAACTTTTTAGATTTAAACAACTAAATTGTAAAGTGTCGGGTATAAAGTTCAGGACAAAAACAAAATATGTACATTGTCGGAAAATATAAAATTTATTTTTACTCGCTACGAAACAGGAGAAAAGCTCGGCAAGCATAGTTTCTAAAGCTCGTACAAATAAATTTCATATTTTCCGACAATGTACATATATAGTATATTTATTTGTCTATACGTAGTTTGCTGTCTTACGTTCAAAAATATATAAAATATTGCCTGTAGATTTTGATTTCATAACAATTATTTTTTACTCGTAAATTTAAATTTGAAAGCCCAAACATCGTTGGTTGCTTTTGAAAGCGTTTACTTTTTTTTGAAGTTCACGAATAATTTTATAACTTTCACAATTATAAAATTAAAATAATGGTATAAGCAGGAAACATATTTATGAAAACCAAAAGATAAATAATAGTAACGTACCTTGCAAGTAGCGAATAAGGACACACATTACTTCTCCAAAGATGAAATTCCTCAGAAGTGATGGAATCAGAGTAAACGGCATACAGAATACGGCCAACAACAGGTCACTAATGGACAGATTTAACAGAAAAACATTTGTCACTGTTCTCATCCGACGATTTTGAATTAATGTCAAGATAACCAACACATTTCCTATGACTGATAACAAAAATATAATAGCATGAAGAGATATCCGTACTTCTCCGCTCGCATCAAAACGTGTCGGTCTCTGTCTGTACGGTGGGGTAGTCATAGATGTGTTCAGTATGGTTTTTAAGAGTTCAACCGTAATGTTAGTATCAGTCATGATTTTTCTCTCTGTATCTTTTCGTTGTTATTTACTATCTTGTATACTGCGAAATGTGTTCCTCCAAGAAGTACCTTCAAATTAATGAGATTTTTACAGATCGATAACTTCTCATTTTCCTCATTCATTGATTTGCATTGTTTATATCATTCTATGAATATTCATTTAAATTAATTATCAATTGTCAAACGGAAAATGTAAATATAGATATAGAAAAACAATAATTTCTTAATTTGCTCTTGAGATAATGTAAAGTCTTGTTAGGCTTACACAGAAGTTCCCGGACTATTAAACGTTCGATGATTTTATGGAACATAAACCTGGAGGTTCGCAATAATTGTGTCAATTATAAGCGGACTTCTGTCGTGTCAGTCATAGGATATATTGTCTTTCATTGTATTGTACAAATATAATCATAGTATTCCCCCAACAAATGTATCACTGAAATATATATTAAGACTTTTTCCAATAAGACTGATGCAGTTAATACAGGGAAATGTAATGATTAACTCTCGTTGTTAGTGTTACTACGTTGTGGGAATGTAATGTAATCTCGGTTCCCCGTGTCGGTTCTATCACGTTTGTGGGAATGTTATGGTATATGTGAAATCATAAACACTTCTGTATATTGGTCTTGCGATGACGAAAGATCGAGTTAATCGTCACTTAATGGTATATCATCATGATTAGCAAGCACGACATTTATATCTTTAATCCAATTGGCACCAAATCAGTATAATATATGTAACTGTTTTGATTTCTAATCTAAATTGACAGACTGGGACAGGGTTATAGTGCACATGAAATTAAGTTTGCAATGCCATGTTTTCATTCCAGCTGACTTAACTATATAATAAACATGTCATCGACAAAAAAAATTAATTTCATATTTGAAATAAATATTTCATATGTTATAACAGTATAGGAATAAACTCAGCAATTGTTTGTTTTAATGTTTTACATACATAACTCATGTGTATTTCTTATTTAAATTATTTATTGCTTTTTGTTCTTTTTTCATATGTAGTTCTGTTAAGTAATGTTTAGAATAAAACGAAAATCCTTTAAGATCTTCAGTTCATGCCGATATATTATGAAGCATATGTCTATGATTAAAATTCAATATAACGATTTTAGGATATCATAAAACTTTTGTCAGCATTGGTCTTATATATTTGATTATTAGTCAGTATTGAACAAAAATGATGATTAGCAGTATTGAAAAATAATTATGATTAGCAAATCTACTTTCAGTATATTACTTCATGTTACTGTGTAGTTTCTTGCGTCAATACCTTTCAAACAAGTATTTGCTTATTAATATTTACGTAATGTTTTACTGTCCACGTACTCGAAACCGGTATTGAAGAAAAAAATTGATGGTTAGCCAGTCTGCTTTAGGTATTTAATATTATTTTATTGTTCGTATTTTTCAATACCTTTCCCACAAAAGATTCGAACAAATATGTGTGATTAGTATTTGCGTAATTTCTTACTGTTCACGGTCCCCGAAACGGTATTGAAGAAATTGGATTACAACCCAAAGAACGTATGCGTTAACAAAGACGTCGTTAACAAGATCGTTTACACAGACAATTCAGTATGTAATTTGATGTAATTGTTCAGTTTTTTTTCTTCATTGTATGGTCCCGCCACAAAAAGTCGGGACCATATAGATTTACCCTTATCCGTCATTCCGTCATTCTGTCAAAACAGAGCTTTCTTACATTTTGACGATAACACTTAAGAGTCTTTGTTTTATCCGGTATAACAGGTTACTTTTCTGAATCAAACGTATCTTTAAAATTTAAGCATATCGCAAATAAAACACGCTTTTGATATCTGAAAATAAAGAAAAATAGTTTCAAATACACTTACGTCCGATACGTTATTTATGTTAACCACGATTACACACATTTGCGCGGGAATTGTTCAAGCATGCGTTTCACCATTAACATTTTAATGAAATTATTAAAGTATGATACTCTAAATTTAACGGCAAGATTCGCGATTATTTTTATTTTTAATGAGCATGCTATCATCAAATTGTCAACGTGGATCATCGAGATTTGAAATGAATATGGAAAAAAGAAAGATTTTGCGATGAAGTTTTTTCTATTAATGTTAAGGTTAAATGTGAATAAACTAATGTGACTCTTGCGATTGTAGGTAGCAAATGTGAAACGGAACAAATACTAAAGCCCCGCATTTAAAAGTTAATGGTCGTTGCCTTAGTATTCCATGATTATCATGGTATGTTTTTCAACTAGTAATATCTTCAGTTAATGCCAGATACGCAACTGATGTTTGATCATTCTGTTTTACACGTCGTTTATTTGTTTTAATCATCTAATAATGGACCAATCAGTGTTGAATTTAGCATTTACAGATGTTAACACGAGCGAGCATGTGAAATCCAATGTCAATTCCATGGGGGGGGGGGGGGGGGGGGGGAATTAACACACACACACACACACACATACACACATACCCTCACAAACAGCTTTGATTTAACTAGTAGTTATATATATAGGCTAATGTCCACGATACAACAGCCAACCAACAAATATATATATGATCATTATCCTCAATGTAAATAAAGTTTAATATGAACGTTACATAGTTCACACTGTGTAACAAGCATTAAATGGTATAAAAAGAAAAAAAACCAAACAAGTTACAATCAAAGAAAAAACGGAAAACTTGGGTCTTTTGGAAAATTAAACCGTCTCTGTCTCTGACTTAGTTGTATATAAGTGACCAAAGCTAACATCTAGAATAGGAGGCTAACAATGTGTCTGCTGAGCAGTGGCACTCGTTGCGCCCCACTCCTAAATCCGCCCTTGAGCTCTAATTATAGATATCGTTTTGTTCATTTACATACACATTTTAACGCATTTTAATGTATATCAAGAAAATAAATCTTCAATCTTGCACTATCTATATATTCTGGATTTAATAATTACGATTTAACTGTAAACATGCTTGGAAGATTGATGATTATTGGTCACTTAACGTCCAGTGGCAAATATTTCATGAAAGTTCTGGACGAAAACGCAATTATACGCTGAAAGAACGGTTCCATACTAGGTGAGACTAACTTGGGTGTATGGACACACCATAAGGCAACAATGGGTATTACCTAGGGAGATGCGGTTAATCACTACAAGTTATTAAACGAGCCCAGACATAAGTTTTGGAGTTCATTTTTTTTCAATTTATTATCTCGGATTGCAAATTTTTTAATTTAGGAAGTATTTTTTTTTTATCTTATCTTATCTTTTTGTGTGAGGAGGGAAGCCAATGTATATGCCTTTGTATTTTGTTTTAGGTCAAATAAGACAAAGTTCACATAATCTTTTATTTTAATGGGAATTTTTTTTCTTCTGACGAGCCTATATTTAGGAAATTTTGTAGAGTTATCTCCTTCCCTTTGGTGGTATTATTTTTTACCTATCGTACGTCCCGAAATTCCTATATCGCACGAAAAATCAAGTTTGATACGTGTCGTTCCATGACGCTTCGATTAAGATTACATAAACATGTCAAAATAGAGGATCCCGAAAACGAGTCTTACGTATGATTCGTCAAGCGTACGTAACTTTCGTCAAATTGTTAGAAATCTCTGTTAACAGTTAAACGGACTCTTTTTCTAAACGCCTTCACATATTGAGCTGATTTTTAGTATGTGAGTCTACTATAATGAGTCACAGATTGAAATTATATCTGGTTCCGCTCCGCTGATTTGGCGGAAATTACGGACTTTGGACTTTGAAAATTTTGTGAAAATAACAGTTATATATACGGACTTTCATTTTCAAATGTTCACGCTCAAAAATGACTTCAAGCTTTTTTTGAGAGCGGGCCATTCGTGTCGTTCCGAAACATCTAGTTTTCATTGCTTTTCCTACAAAACATTCAAATCTATACACGGCTGGTAATCTACACACGCAGAACAATCGGTTCTGCAATGAAAACCGTGAGAGGATTTTCCGGTTATGCTTGAGTGGAGTAATTGTCACCGGTTCGAAAGGTATGAACATTTCTAAATTGCAATTTTCTAATTCAACTGATCAAAATATTGAAAATCGGAGAATGCTATGCTGTGGTGAATACTTTAACGAAGAGACACATGTATCATTTACTGTTGTGCATGGAGTAAAACTCCTACAAAATCAATCGTCCCACGAGTAATTGCCGAAAAAAGTGATATTTAAATTTTGAGATGGTTCTATTCACAGACCTACAATTTCAAATTTAGTTTTTTTTCTATCAACGGGATTGAATGTCGTTTTGGGCGGCGTGTGCGCTGTCCGAAATTGATAGACGTCTTCATAAATCTAAAAACTGCCAATTTTCATTATTTCATGCGTGAGGGGATCGGTTCTGATTGAGGACATCGTGAATGCGTGAGGAGAAGTGCTATCATATCTTTATATCGAAAAATGTAACAATCACTTCAAAGAAGGGCAAGTAAATTGCATAGTTTTATTGAAGTTCATACTAAATATAAATGGACAATGGAAATGGAAATGGCTACAACGTAAATATAAGTGGTTAAGATTTATGATTGACTATATTTTGTTCTTGTGTGCATGTGTTAAGACTTTAATCTATGTTTTAGATAGATAGAACTACACGAGAAAAAAACATAGTCAATCATAAATCTAAACCAATTATATTTACGTTGTAGCCATTTCCATTTCCATTGTCAATTTATATTTAGTATGAACTTCAATAAAACTATGCAATTTACTTGCCCTTCTTTGAAGTGATTGTTACATTTTTCGATATAAAGATATGATAGCACTTCCCCTCACGCATTCAGGATGTTCTCAATCAGAACCGATCCCCTCACGCATTAAATAATGAAAATTTGCAGTTTTTAGATTTATGAAGACGTCTATCAACTTCAGACAGCGTACACGCCGCCCAAAACGACATTCGATCCCGTTGTCAGAAAAAAAAAATTGAACTTGTATGTATGGCACGCCTGAACCACTTTTATTAATTAATCTTAGATTATCTCAGATAAACTAGGATTATCTCAGATAATCCCGGTTTGTCTCAGATAAACTAAGATTATCTCAGCTTTATTCAAATTCGAGAAAATCCTAGTTTATCTCAGAAAATACAGAAAATTCATTATCTGGAGAAAATCCCGGTTTATCTCAAAATATTAAGAAAATCTAGGTTTTTCTGATCGATTTTCAGATAATCCTAATTTATCTCCAGATAATTAATTTTCTCAATTTCAGATAATGAATTATCTCATTTCTCGAGAAAATCTAGGTTTATCTCGGATTCTAAATATACAAAAGAACAATGTAACGAGTGTTTTAATTGGACGACAATCCGGCGTTTAACGCTTTACTTTCTCTTTGAAACCATGATGGTGACGAATTCACTTCCTATTATTGGGTTAACGGGGATGTGCCAAAATATGGGTCATAATTTTGCGAGATTTTATATAAAAATTAGCGTCCTTTTTCAGAGGAGGGGCGACATTCAGCATACGGCACGCAATTTTTATTTATATTATTGATCGATCGCTGTGTTATTGTGTCATTTATCACTACTCGTGGTGTGAACATCACCGTTATTGACACCTGGACAAGGAAATTTGTTGAATCAATTATAAAAACAAGTAATATACAGAAGGGCTGATTATATACAATATACCGGCATATACTTTGTACATACATAATAAACAA